ACCAGAAATGCCTTATAGGTTTTCTGGAAATGTAACCTTCATAGAAATAGACTGCCTTGTCTTTTATCATATGGAACCACCAGTAGGACTGAACCACCAAGCGACTGGCTAGCAGGCTTCAGAATGGTGATCTGAAACATGTATTTCATGTTATGTAATATATTCTAGTAGAACATGAGTCAGCACTGCAATCACAGTAGCAAAATTTAGAATATTAACACTAAAGAGGAAAAGGGAAGGAAGATAATAGGAATAGCCTCAAATCAGCTTAGATTCAGGTCAAGCTTTTATTCCCAAATGAGTTTAGGTCATATCAGGTATTTTAACCACCAAATTACATTTATTTATTTGGGGATTATGGGAACAAAGGACTTGCAGACCTATAGCTTTATAGTTGTCTGCGGCCGAGACTGACTCAGTGACCACAGGACAGAGAGAACTGCTCTGTAGGATGTCTCAGGTTTTATTTACTCTTCAGAGATCACCAGATCCTTTCTCCTGAAGTCACTGTTACCATGCTGTCAGAACCAAGTCAGAGTTGACCTTCCAGTGGGTTTGGAACGTTACTTTTTACCTACTAGGCCACAGAGCTCTCAAAGTCACTAGTTGGTTAAAATCACCTATCTTTCAGTTACTAGCAAACTGCACTATTGCACTAATGGAGCTGAGTAGCTTTATGGTAAAGTATCAAAGACCAATTTCTATACACTGCACCTGAACATTAATTACCAGTAACTCTTGACAGTGAAAATCTGCAGAATGAAAAAAATATTTTAAGCCCTGGTGACATAGTATGAGTGGATAACTAAACAAAAAGGCAGAAGCAGCAGTTCAAACTCAACCAAATACTCCATAGGGAAAAGTGGAAAAGATGAGTAGTCTTCCCATAACTATTTACAGCCTCAGAAACTTGATGAAAAATTTACTATTATTCACACTTGACTAGTTGGCAGTGGGTTTAGGTAGATTTTTATGTGTTCCCAGCCCTCTGAAAACTCAGAGGAAGGTCAGCAATGGGAAGGTTCCAACTTTACTGTACACAACAACAACTTTAAAATGACAGAGTATTTCTCACTACACTGATTTGGCAGAAATAGAAATAGTCAAGTTCCCATCAAATACAGTTAACAGCTCCTATTAAGGCAAAAATTCTGAATTCAAAGACAATCTGCATTATGAACTCCTTTAAATATAACGCATGTCCTTAAACCTTCATTTTATAATCTATGACTACAACGGGTACTAGAATCTACTCCCAAAACATGTTTTAAATATCTTGACTTTGTAGATAGAACAGATGCACTGTCAGCTTTCTACAAAAATTAATAAACATACATATCATAACTGAGTCAGTTTAGGTGGGGCTAAGTCTTTATTTCTGTCCCAAATAATTCTAATGCTGCTGACACAAAAGCCTCATACTTTGAAACAAGCATGACAATACACTGTAGAGAAAGAAATCACTATCCTAGTTTAGGGCTAAAACGGCAATTAAAAATCTAAGTAATTTGCTAAACGCATTCAAAAGAAAATCAAACATAAGCTCTCCAGTTGTAGGTTCAAATCAGCAGGACTCCTATGAAGTTAACATCAAATATGTTTCAAACAGCTTGTTTTAATGTATCTAGGTAGTGTCTTTAATCTCAAAATGATACTGTTTCCCCATCTCTCCCAGCTCAATTTCAAACTGGAATCATGGAATACAATCATGAGATTCTATTTTGCACTAAAGTTCAATTCTAAATTCAAATCCACAAGTAGAAATAGAAAAGTGTAGTAAAAAACTCTCTGAAAATAATCCATTAGGAATGTGGCATGGTAGGAGAGAAATACATATATTATTTCAGTAAAGCCTCCAAAAATCAATCAGCTGTGCACTGTGAAGTCAATTTATCAGGAAAAAATAGAAACTCGAGAGAGAAATCTCAGTCTAGCAAGATGCATGTAACTAGAAAATTATAAACTGAGATTCATCTTTCATAGCCCAGGCTCATTCTAAAGTAAACGTTTACACTTCTACTCTGTATAAGAAATGAAATCTTGATACAGTATAGATGAGCTCAAAGAGACTACACTAAAAGTACTAAGCCAACTGGGGGGGGGGCAGGGAGAAAAATGCAACAATGAATGAATGGAAATCCAAAATCTCTGTAAAAGTTCATTAAAATTTAAAAAAAAAAAAAAAAAAAAATTTTAAAAGTACGAAGCCTGAATAGCTACTGTTTGAATTCACTTACAGAAAAAGGCAAGGGAAATACCTAGAGAACAAGTTTATCAGTCATTACCAGGGCTAGGAACGTTAGAGGATGGGGAGCAATAATCATGTTGGGGGTGGGGGGGAATCACATTAATGAAGGGTAGGTTTGAAAAGCCATCAATATAAATGCTGGGACATCTGTGAAAAATACAACTGACAAAAGTGGTGTGTAATGAGTTTCTAATAACCGAAAGAGAAGATAATTGACAAAGATGCTTATATACAAGCAAATACCTCATTCAATACAGTTCCCTGCTGTAACCTAGGTTACAGTTTCATGAGAGAGACCAGTCTCACCAGCCTGGTAACATGTTTAGTACTTTGGTTACCGCCTAACTCTGAACATAGGGTCTTAAAAGATTGCAGTCATCTGAGACGCAACAACTCGTGTCTGTTTGGCTAGATGAACAAGGAAATGGAGTGCAGGGTATAGAAGGATATGGAGTGTGTCGGTAATTCACTTCAAGCTAACAGACCAGAACTGGATGGTGCCTGGCTACCATCACAGAACAGTTTGATCAAAGAATGCACAGAAGGATCCTGACTAAGGGAAAATGCCTCATTGTTGTCGACCGAGGGAAAGGACAGAGACAGATGGGAGACACTTAGGAATGGGGGTCATGTCAGAAAGCGTGAATGCAAGAGGGTACCAGCTAGAACTGA